GCTATCAGCTGTTAAGTGTGTATATACATTTTGGGGAGATACACTGTACATGTGTATACATATATTTACTTTGAATAAGCTTTCTGATCCTCTCTCTCTTTTCCTGGGACTTTCACCATGTTTACATTGGTCTTCTTGGGGGTGTTCTGTGAACATCTTGCTTTCTTCATTATTTTTCATTCATTTTAATTTTTCCTTGGACTGAATAATTAGCAATGACTCATCTTTAAATCCACTGATACTTCCTTCTGCTTGATCTAGTCTGATGTCCTTCCTGAACTACCTGGTATTATAAGGCCATGTTCAGATCTCAAAATGGGAGGAGTTGAAGTCAGCAGGCTTGGATCTCCTTATGTTGTTTGGTAGCAGAATGGGACATATCAGATTTTTTGAGTGGTACTGCCATCTCTAATATAAGCTCCAAATTCCCTGCCATGGTTGTCTAGATGAGGTTGGGTTAGCTTGTTGAACATTCACTGCTGCATCTTCAGACAGATCAGTCAGCTAGTTACCTGGATATTGAATGAGGGTGAGGCTGGTCTGCCAGGACTGTTATATTACCAATGTAGGTGGATTGAACAACCCACCAGTGAACAAAGGTGGTGTGTATTTTGGGTTGGCCTATAAGTCTTTGAAGTTGCCATTCTGAATGAATCAAGAGCAGGTGCTGGAGCACCTTACTGATTCTTGTTCTGTCTTTTTCATTTTATTTTGTCCAGAGAGAGAAAACTATTCTTGTCCATACCAGCTGAAGGTTCTGTGTCAAAGACTTCCAGCATCCAGTTTGGGATTTGCATGAGAAATTAATAGAAAACCCAGGGAAGTCACCCTATCGCCATTCCTCAAATAGAGAGGTTTCCAGCCAGTCTGTCCTTTTTAAAAAAATATTTATTGTTCAAAGTATTCCATATGTCTCCTTTAATCCCCATTGTCCTCTCCCAGCCTGCTCCCACCTCCCAGCACAAGCCCCTATTTTTGTGTCCATTGGTTATGTTTATAGGCATGCACACAAGACTTTTGGTTAATCTCTTACCTAGCTCCCCCCCGCCCCCATCCCACCCTCCCCTGCCTTCCATCTCTTCCTATGTCTCTAGATCTATTTTTGTTCATCAGTTTTGTTGTTCATTACATATCATAATGAGCGAGATCATGAGATACTTATCTTTCCCCAACTAGTTTATTTTGCTTAGCATAACGCTCTCCAGGTCCATACATGCTGTTGCAAATGGTAAAAGTTCTTTCTTTTTTAGAGCAGCGTAGTATTCCATTGTGTAAATGTGCCACAGTTTTTTAGTCTACTTGTCTGCTGATAGGCACTTAGGCTATTTCCAAATCTTAGCTATTATAAATTGTGCTATTAACATAGGGGTTCATATATTCTTTCTTATTGGTGTTTCTGATTTCTTGGGATATATTCCTAGAAGTGGGATCACTGGGTCAAATGGGAGTCCCACTTTTAATTTTTTGAGGAAACTCCATACAGTTTTCCACAGTGGCTTCACCAGTCTGCATTCCCACCAGCAGTGCACGAGGGTTCCTTTTTCTCCACATCCTTTCCAGCACTTGTCCTTTGTTAATATGTGGATGATAGCCATTCTGACAGGTGTGAGATGGTACCTCATTGTCATTTTGATTTGCACCTCTAGGATTATTAGTGACTTTGAGCATTTTTTCATATGTCTCTTGGCCTTCTGTATGTCCACTTTCGAAAAGTGTCTATTTAGGTTTTTTGCCCATTTTTTGATTAGATTATTTATCTTTCTTTTGTTAAGTTGTATGAGTTCCCTATATATTTTGGAGATTAAACCCTTATCAGAGAGAACATGATAAATATGATTTCCCATGCAGTGGGCTCTCTTGTTATTTAGTTGATGGTTTCTTTTGCTGTGAAGAAGCTTTTTATTTTGATATAGTTCCATTTGTTTATTTTCTCCTTAGTTTTCATTGTTCTAGGAGCTGTATTGATAAACATATTGCTAAAAGATATGTCTGATATTTTGCTGCTTATGGATTCTTCTAAGATTTTTATGGTTTTCCATCTTACATTTAAGTCTTTTATCCATTTTGAGTCTATTTTTGTGTATGGTGTAAGTTGGTGGTCTAGTTTTTCTTTCTTTCTTTCTTTCTTTCTTTTTCTTTCTTTCTTTCTTTCTTTCTTTCTTTCTTTCTTTCTTTCTTTCTTTCTTTTTGCATGTATCGTCCAATTTTCCCAATACCATTTATTGAAGAGACTGTCTTATTCCATTGTATGTTCATGCCTCCTTTGTCAAATATTAATTGAGCATAATGGCTTGGGTTTATTTCTGGGTTCTCTGTTCTGTTTCATTGGTCTATATGTCTGTTCTTGTGCCAGTACCAGGCAGTTTTGAGAACACTAGCATTGTAATATAATTTGATATCTGATATTGTGATCCTTCCAACTTTGTTCTTCTTTCTCAGGATTACTGAAGCTATTTGGAGTCTTTTTGTGTTCCATATAAATTTTTGGAGAGTTTGTTCTGTGAAATATGACTTTGGTATTTAATAAGAATTGCATTGAATCTGTAGATTGCTTTGGGTAGTATGGATATTTTAATGATGTTGATTCTACCAATCTGTGAACATGGTATATTATTCTACTTATTTTGTCCTCTTCTATCTCTTTTTTCAATGCCCTGCAGTTTTCAGAGTACAGGTCTTTTACCTCCTTAGTTAAGTTCATTCCTAGATATATTCATTTTTTAGTTGCAATGGGAAATGGGTTTGGTTTTTTAGTTTCTTTTTCTGTAAGTTCATTATTGGTGTATAAAAATGCCATTGATTTCTGGGTGTTAATTTTGTATCTTGCTACTTTTCTGAATTCATTATTAAATCTAGTAGTTTTTTGATGGAGTCTTCAGAGTTTCCTATGTACAATATCATGTCACTTGTGAATAATGACAGTTTTACTTTTTATTTTCCAATTTGGATACCTTATATTTCTTCTTCTTGTCTGATTGCTATGGCTAGCACTTCCAATACTATGACAAACAAGAGTGGTGAAAATGGACATCCCTGTCTTTTTCTTATTCTTAGGGGAAATGGTTTTAATATTTGTTTATTGAGTATGATATTGGCTGCAGGTTTGTCATATAAGGCTTTTATTATGTTGAGGTATGATCCCTCTATTCCCACTTTGCTGAGAGTTTTTATCAGGAAGGGGTGTTGGATTTTGTCAAATGCTTTTTCTGAATCAATTGATATAATCATGTGATTTTTGTCTTACAATTTGTTTATGTGATGTATTACATTTATTGATTTGTGGATATTGTATCTGCCTTGTATCTCCAGAATAAATCCCATTTGGTCATGGTGTATGATCTTTTTAATGTATTGCTAGATGTGATATGCTAATATTTTGTTGAGGATTTTAGCATCTATGTTCATCAGGGATGTTGGCCTCTAATTCTCTTTCTTTGTAGTGTCTTTATCTGATTTTGGGATTAGGGTAATGCTGGTTTCATAGAAAGAGCTTGGAAGTGTTTCTTCCTCTTGAATCTTTTGGAAAAGTCTGTGTATGATCAGTGTTATTTCTTTGAATATTTGGTAAAACTCCGCTATGAAGAAATCCAGACCCGGGCTTTTGTTTGCTGGAATTTTTTTGACTACTGCTTCAATTTCATCGGTAGTTAGAGACTTATTCATGTTTTCTGATTCTTCCTGATTGAGTTTTGGAAGATTGTATTTTTCTAGGAATGTATCCATTTTGTCTAGGTTGTCCAGTTTATTGGAATAGAGTTGTTCATAGTATTTTTTTTATAATCCTTTTTTAATTCTGTGGATCAGTTGTTACTTCACCTCTTTAATTTCTGATTTTGTTTATTTGGGTTCTGTCTCTTTGTTTCTTGGTAAGCCGCCAGTCTATCTTTGTTCTATTTAGTTTTCAGAGTTTTTATTTCCATTTACTTATTCATGTATTTCCAGGGTAATTAGTTGTATTTAGAGCGTATATGCAGAAAAAACTGAATCGATATCACCTTGTTTCAGAAACTAAATTAGCCACAGGTGTTGAATAATCTTCTACATTAAAAATGTAACAAATATAACCACTTTTAGAGTAATACTCCATGGAACAATAAAAATTCATTATTTACTATATATAGATATATTTACCATTATTTATTATATAAATAATTAAGCTACTCATTATAAGAGATACTAACATTTGTGAAGGATGCAAATAATGTTCTTGTGTACTTCCAGTCTGACAAATCTAGTGAGAAAGTAATGTAGAAAAAGAAAAGTAAACATTTTTCTCTAGGAGGTATAAGTACCATAAAAGAGATTTTAAAATAAGATATTACATGTATCTTAGGAAACGTTATCAAAATATTTTATATATGTTTATTATATATATCTATACTATATCTATATATCTTAGATAATGATATCAAATAATTTATCACTTGAGGATGAAAAAGAGGTGCTATTATTTATGCCAATTTAACATGTGTAAATTGGGACAATTTCAGCAATATGAGATATATGATTACCTTACCCATAAGACTCTTATTCTAACTATTGCAAAAACATTCACATATGCATATCCTTGGAGAATTATATAATGAATCCTTATTTACCCATAATTCAGGTTTAATAACTATAAATTTCTGGCCAGTTTTTATTCTTCTATACACTTTCAGTACCCCTCTGCCTTATCAATATTTAAGAGCAAATTCTAGGCAGTTTCTTGAGTCATTCCTTGATCAAAACATTAATCTCTTTTATTGCATGCCTTTTCCTTTTTCTTCACCAAGCCGTGTTATAACCACCCATTCACATGTTGCTTTTTGTTTTACTTATAGTCTTGATGTTCTTCTAATGATTCAACTTTGCCAGAAGACTAATCCTTCCTAATTAGCCCTGCACATTGACCAGCTGAGAATAAGGATGGAGACCATCCATGACTCAGCCCTGCCCACCTTGGTCTCTGTTTCCATAATGGTAGCTTCATAATTACTGAAATTGAAACCCTATTGTACATGAGAATCATGCTCCTACTACACTGGTTTGGGGTGTTTCTGTCCTTTTCTGGGCACACTTGGGCTGAGCACCCTCAACATCATAGTCCTCCAGAAGTGGTGATTCCCTTGAGAATAACAAGCACTGGACTTAGCATGAAGTTTCCAGGCTGGCTCTGTTATGGTATGCATTTTGGGGGTGAAAGACACATTATCTACATGAAGGTCAAGAAGCATTTGCTGTCCAGACACTTTCCAGTGTTCACCTACAGCGATCAAGGTGCTCTCCTTGAGGACCAGCCTTTTGTTCAGAATGACTGCTATTATCATGGTTATGTGGAGGGGGACCCAGAATCCCTGGTTGCCCTCAGTACCTGTTTTGGTGGCTTTCGAGGCTTGTTACAGATAAATGACATTGCTTATGAAATTAAGCCCATGATTTTTTCTTCCAAATTTGAACATCTGATATATAAAATGGACAGAGAGGACACTGAATACCAAACCATGAAATCTGGCTTTATGCAAGAGGAAATTGTACAGCAATTTGAGTTTCAAGAGATTGGTAATTCTACTCTGAAGCAAAGTTCATATGAGGGCTGGTGGCCCCACAGTTACTTTATTGAAATAGTAGTGGTAGTTGACAATACTCTCTATCTTCAAAGTAACAAAAATGTCTCAATAGTGCAGGAAGACCTATATGTTATGGTGAACATAGCAGATTCTATTTATGAGGAAATAGGTCTTAAGGTTTTATTGTTTGGCATGGAGGTGTGGACTAAAGAAAATCCCATTGAAGTAGATGATGTAAAGAGATCTCTGAGAATATTTTGTCGTTGGAAAGCTGCAAACCTTTATTCCCGCCTGCCACATGATACTGCACATCTTCTAATACATAAGACATTAAGAGGAATGAGTGGTTTAGGCTATGTTTCAGGACTCTGTAGAACAAGCCATAGTTGTGCAATTATTACTTTTACAAGAAAGCCTGTGGGCCTTATGGGAATTGCAATGGCTCATCATATTGGTCATAATTTGGGTATGTTTCATGATCGTATTTTGTGTACTTGTGGAAAATATAAATGTATAATGCATAATGATAACCCACCAATAACTAAATTTAGCAATTGTAGTTATGCTTTTTTATGGGATTATTCCTTACGTCAGACAAAATGCTTGCTCTACACCATATACACAAGTGACATATTTAACCGAAAACGCTGTGGGAATGGTGTTGTTGAAGATGAAGAGGAGTGTGACTGTGGACCTTTGCAGCAATGCTCAAAAGATGCCTGCTGTCTGTCAAACTGCACTCTCAGTTCGGGGTCTAATTGTGCTTATGGGCTTTGTTGCAAGGACTGCCAGTTCTTACCATCAGGGGATGTGTGTAGGAAGGAGATCAATGAATGTGATCTTCCCGAATGGTGCAATGGAACATCCCATATGTGCCCAGATGATGTGTATGTGGAGGATGGAATTCCCTGTAATGAAAGTGCTTACTGCTACGAAAAGAGATGTAATGATCGCAATTTACAGTGTAAGCAGATTTTTGGCCAAAAGGCAAAGAATGCAAGTTACAGTTGCTACAAAAAAATAAACACTCTAGGTGACCGGTTTGGTCACTGTGGTACCCAAAACTTTTCATATATAAAATGTAATATGTCGGATGTCTTGTGTGGGAGGATTCAGTGTGAGAACATAACTGAAATTCCCCTTCTAGCAGATCATTCTACTGTGCATTGGACTTACTACGATGGTGTCAACTGCTGGGGTACTGACTCCCACATTGGGATGACCACACCTGATATAGGCGCAGTGGAAGATGGCACAGAGTGTGGTGAAGAGCACCTCTGCATCCATAGGAAGTGTGTCCATATATCTTACTTGGACAGTAATTGTTCACCTACATTCTGTAATCGAAGGGGAATCTGCAACAATAAACATCACTGCCATTGCAACTATCTATGGGACCCTCCCAACTGCCTAAGACAAGGCCATGGAGGTAGTATTGACAGTGGTCCACCCCCTAGGAGAAAGAAGATACAGAAGATTTATGTCTTAATGTTTTCACTTTTTTGGTTGTTACTTTTATTATGTTGTCTTTTTTGTCTTTGTATGAAGAGAACATCTAAGAAAAAAGAGCAAATTGTTCAGCCTCAACCTCAAATGAAGCCACAAGCAAAGCCAAATATTCCACCTCCACAACGGACACCCTCACAGAATATTCCACCTCCACAACGGACACCCTCACAGAATATTCCACCTCCACAACGGACACCCTCAAGACCAGGTCCATAACCATAGTCAACCTAAATGTTATTTTCCCAGAGTCAACATGGGAAACAAAAGCAATCAGTACCCAAAAATGTATCCAAACAGGTATTCATTAAAAATGGTAATTCCTAGAATGTTTCTAATGACTCTTTTTTATTTTAAACAATTAGAAGATTTTTTTAACCTACAACTTGTTTCTTGATATTTTCTGGAAATGGCATGGCACATGGATGGTGTACCAGTTTCTCAGTTACTGCTTCTCAGCTCCAAAGCCCCTTCCCATTTTGTCCCCTGCAATAGGAAGAATGAATGGGCGTTTGGAAATCTGGGAGATCTGTTTGCTTCCTGTATGTTAATGTTACCCGAATAACAGATTTTACACTTGTAGTTATATTTAGGTTCAATATCCTTTTTTTAAAAAATTCACTTCATTCCAACCCCATTGTCAGCCTGAGAGATATCAGCATAGCTGTTTAATGTTACTTTCAGAGTTCTGAGTCCTCTTTGAGCTCTCTAGCAATATCCCAAATCTTCTGCATCAGCTTAGCAATACCTACTGTCAGAGTTTTGAGTCTCAGATCTATAGGCCAGCCCTATAGTCCTATCTATAATAATAAAAGTGTAATATGCAAATCGACCAAATGGCCAAACAGCAGAGTGACTGACCATCTGGATGACCACGCTATAACATGCACTGGTGCCAGGCCAGCCAAGATGTGTGTGATGCGATTGGGGGGGGGGGGGCACCATCATCCCATGATCGCCCTGCAGAGGGAGGCCCAGGCCACTGGCCAGTGGAGCTATCAATCAGGGGGCTCCATGATCATCCCAAAGAGGGAGGCCCAGGTCACCCTCTTCAGGGTGATTGATCAGGGGCCTCCACAGAACCGGGGAGCCAGGGGTGTGTGGTGGTGGAGTGGGCAGCACCAGGCCAAGGTAGGTGCGGGTGGGGGGAGGGTCTACGAGGCAGCTGGGGCTGCGAGGCAGCTGGGGCTGCAAGGGCCTATCCTTGCATGAATTTTGTGCATCAGGTCTCTAGTCTATATATATAAAAGCCTAAGCAACTGGCCGAGTGGCCGACCAGCCCGTAGCTATGACATGCACTGACCACCAGGAGGCAGACGCTCAATGCAGGAACAGAAACCACAGGCATGGAAACATGGAACAGACTGATGAATCTCAGAGGGAAGGGGGTAGGGGGAAGGGCGGGAAGAGATTAACCAAAGATCTTATATGCAAACTTGAGGCCCGGTGCACAGATTCATGCACTGGTGGGTTCCTTCAGCCTGGTCTGTGGGGATCAGGCCACAACCAGCTCTCTGACATCCCCTGACGGGTCCCGGATTGCGAGAGGGCGCAGGCCAGGCCAAGCGACCACACCGGTACATGAATCTGTGCACCGGGCCTCTAGTAGATTCATATAACCCTAACTTTTTTCCTTTGTTCCTCAATTCCATGAATGAAATTACTCTCTTACACTTAGTATTTCATGGTTACTAACCAGCTAATAGCACATTGTCTTCCTTAACTTGTTTTGTTCTTCAATACCTGTTTTCCCAATTCCTTATATTTAATTCCCTCTAAAATGTGTTTTCTATCACTAAAGTGTTTTCTCTTTTCTGTCTGAATTGTGATTGTTACAATACTGATCTTAGAATAATAAAAAAAAGCAAGAATGAGAAAGCATCAAAAGTTTTTGTTTGAGTTTTTCCTTACCACTTTACCATCTTAGGAAAGTTACTTGAATTTACAGCAAGTTCCCAACCAAATAATAAAAGACAAGATGACAATAGTTATCTCCCAATTTCTGAGTTTCTTTGGTTTTAAAATTAGATAAAAAAGAAAACACTTCCAATTCTAGGTAGGCCTTGGTAGATAAGTGACTTTTCTGAAAACAACTATACAATGTCAAAATGTATACTTTAAAAGTATCAGAGAGTTGTGGAAGACATGAAGATTTGAATACTTAAAAATTACAGAGAAGGGAAAACAAGCTGAATTATTAGTACTTTTTCTTCTTGGAACAAAAATGACTGTTCCCTAGGATGTGTTAATGCTGAATATACTAGTAAATTAAGGATCAAGCTTGGCCCATACAGTGTGTCTCTGTTAAAGAAAAAGAAATCAGAAAACATTTTAGTTTATAGAAGAGTACTAGATTGATGTTAGACACGTAAGGGCATCAAATTCAAAGTTAGTTTTCCCTACACATTTGTTGAGTTTAGGTCCTCTGTGGGAAGCTGGTAAGAAAGGTGAAAAGTTTTAAAGACAGAAATATCTAGAATCTGTTGTACCCAGTGGAAAGGGTCTTGCCTCAAAGATATGTATTGTTTTCCATTTAAAACATTTGACTGATTTTGAAGGAGCTTGGAATAGATGCTAGAGAATTGAGTTTTTCAAGATTTGAGTATCCATATGTAGTCACCATTATTTCTCAAAGCTGAGAAAATAGAGGTACATGGGCTCTTAATAGAAAGTATATTTAGGTATATGTGTGTTACTAAAATTACACTATTTTATGACCAAAATCAATTCCTAATTGTACTGAAGTTGTCACTAAGTATATCTTTTATTGGAAATATGGAAATTCCTTAAGTCAAAAGTAATTCTACCCAGAAATTTTTTGGCCAAAATAAGAAACCAACAACAAAGATAGATAGTAAAAGAGGAGGTAGAAGCCATCTAAAAGATCATCCAAGAGGGTAAAAGAAGATAATGAACAAAAAATCCCTATGATTGCTCTCTTAGAAAAACTGAAAGAAAAATGAACAAACTATGTGAAAGAAGGTAGAGTCTTTTTACCAGAAAATTAACATTTATGTAGTTATCAAATACATAATCTAGAGCTTAAAAATAAAATATCTAAACTCAGGAAATAAATAAACAATTTGAATTATAGGCTGCATTGTGTGAAGAAAAGTTAGTGACAAATATTAATTACTGACACACATTAGAAAAATGTTAAACATAGGATATTACTTATGGAGCATATCACTAAACCTAAAATCATTGGAGTCCCAGCAGAGGAGAAGAAAAAGAATTAAAAAGAAGTAATCGTTCTGATTATTGGTTAGAGTGTCAGTCCACACACCGAAGGGTCTAGGGTTCAATTCCCAATCAAGGGCACCACTCTGAGTTGTGGGTTCACTCCCTGTCACCGGTTTATATAATGGCTGATATTTCCCAAAAGTATATAAACATATTATCCCACTACTTCAAGAAAAGAATTTATATCCCTAGCCAGCTTGGCTCAGTGGATAGACCATCGGCCTGAGAACTGAAGAGTCGCGAGTTTGATTCTAGTCAAGGGCATATGCCTGGGTTGCGAGACCGACCCCCAGTAGGGGGCATGCAGGAGGCAGCCAATTAATGATTCTCTCCCATCATTGTTGTTTCTATCTCTCTCTGCCTCTCCCTTCCTTTCTGAAATCAATAAAAATATATATTAAAAAGAAAAAAAAATGAAAAGAATTTCTAGCAGGATAAACACACAGACACACACCTAATAATATAGATATAGTAAAACTGTTGGAATATGTAATCTATACTAAAAAAAGGGTAATATGCTAATTAGACTGGGTTGACCGGACATCTTCCGAATGTCTGATTTCCTTCCAGACAAAGCTACAGTGGCGGGGACTGAGGCAGATGCGGTTAGGGCCAATCAGGCCAGCAGGGGAGCAAGCAGTTAGGGGCAATCAGGCCGGCAGGGGAAGGGAGTTAGGAGGCAATCAGGCTGGCAGAGGAGGGCAGTTGTGGGTGATCAGGCCGGCAGGGGAGGGCAGTTGGAGGTGATCAGGCCTTCAGGGAAATGGTTAGGGGGCAATCAGGCAGTCAGGCAGAGGCAGTTAGGGACCAGCAATCCCGGATTGCTGACTGCAGGTTAGGCTTGATCCCACAGGGGGTCCCAGATTAGAAAGGGTGCAGGTCAGATGGAGGGACACCCCCTCCACATGCATGAATTTCATGCACCAGGCCTCAAGTACTTTAATTAGGGGGGGGGGGAAGGCAGAGACACTGAGAAATCTTAAGAGCAGTCTGAGATAAAATATTCATATCTTAAAAAGAATGACATAAGGTAAATGACTGACCTCCATAAAATAAGTGAATGCAGAAAACAATGGCATAACATACTTACTTGATCATTGCCAAGAGATCAGCACTCTAAGACAGGGGTGGGCAAACTTTTTGACTCGAGGGCCACAATGGGTTCTTAAACTGGACCAGGGGGCCGGACCAAAAGCATGGATGGAGTGTTTGTGTGAGCTAATATAAATTCAAAGTAAACATCATTACATAAAAGGGTACGGTCTTTTATTTTTTTAGTTTTATTCATTTCAATCGGGCCGGATCCAGCCCTCGGGCCGTAGTTTGCCCACAGCTGCTCTAAGAAATACTAATGTTTCTTTCTCAATCAGGAGAAACCTTTTATCAGAAAGAAAAATGCATGTGCAGGTGGGTGTGCATACAAGGAGTAAATATGTGGGTAAAATAATTAAAATTAACTCTTTAAAATAATACTAATAGTATATTATCCTATATAATAAAGAGCTAATATGCAAATAGTCATCACATCCTCACACTATCATGCTGTAACAGTTCAGACACTTAACACTGGGGAGAGAGGAATGGGAACCAGCCAGGCTGCAGACCAGGAGAGGGACAAGCCGCCCACCCCATGGTCCCAGGAACCAGTGGCTGAGTCTGAGCCTGTGGCCCGGGAGAGAAACAAGCCGCCCGCCCCACGGTCCTGGGTGCCTGTGGCTGCGGCCCAGGTGAAGCTGCCCACTCATGGTCCCCTGTGGCTGGTGCCAGCCTGGGCAAAGCCAGCCTGGGTCCTAGGTGCCTGTGGCCAGCCAGAGGGAGGGAGTCCTGGGTCACGGGTGCAGGACAAGGCAGAGGCCGTTGGGAGCGATCAGGCAAGCAGGGGAGCAGTTAGGGGTCATCTGGCTGATAGGGGAGCAGTTAGGGGCAATCAGGCAAGCAGGCAGAGGTAGTTAGGGGTGATCAGGCAGGCAGGCAAG